GCCCTATCTGGAGACAAAGTTACTGTCTCCGACACACTCTAACCCATCACCACAGTCACTATGTCAATCCGGGATCTTCCTCTCCTATGTTGACCTTCTGTACTTTTACAAGCATGATGTCTTTCTACAAGGCTGGTCCTTCGTGGCAACATGACCCAAGTATGTGAGATGGACTTTTAAAATACTTGCCTCTAAGAAAGAGCAACCTGATATCACCCTATCCAGGACAGACTTGTTTGTTTTCTTGGCAGTTCAGGCAATACAGTCCAGTCAATACTCTTCTTTAGCATGGCAACTCAAAGGCATTAATTCTTCTTCCGCCATCTTTAGTCACTGTCCAGATCTTAAATGTGCAGCAAGAAAGCAAAAAAACCAAGACCTGGATCAGGTGTACCTTAATCTCTAGGCTGACATCATTGCTCTTTAGCATTCTGGAACTCAGGGAGAGCTCTCTGACAGCAGACTTTCCCAAAGCAACTCAACTTTTGATTTCCTGACAGCTTGAGGAACCCTTTAAATAATACAGTTTTCTTTCCCTCTATGTTGTTGTTTGTATGTGCCATCGAGTTTTCAGTGACTCATAGAGACCTTATGTACAACAACTCTGAACTCTAATCTATCCTGAGCCAGTCTCACTGTCTTTGACACACCTACCTCCATTACCCCGGTTACTGTATCTATCCATTTCACCAGGGATCTTCCTCCCCTGAGCTGTCTCTCCATTCTTCCAAGCATGATGTCCTTCTTCAGGGATGGGTCTCTCCTGATCACCTGCCCAAACTATGTGAGACAGAGCTTCAAAAATCCTTGCCTCCAAGGAGTAGCCTGGTTTCACCCTTTTCAGGATAAAACTATTTATTCTTTTGGTGGTCAATGGTATGTTTAATACTCTTTTCTAGAACCCCACCTCAAAGGCATCAATTTTTCTGTCAACCCTAGTCACTGTCCAGCTCTCTGATTCATAGCAAGTAAATGTGAAGACCATGCCTCGATTAGGGACACCTTAGTTTCCAGATTGATGCCATTGCTCTTTAGCATTTTGGACAGGTCCTTGACAGCATATTTCCCCAGAGCAAATGTTTTTTTTTATTTCTTGACTGTTGGTGCCAAAAGTTTCGATTGTACAATCAAGCAAGCAATCTTCTCTCCATCTATCACAGTACTACCAATTGGCCCAGTGTAGAATCTTTGTCTTTTTTCCATTGAGCTTCAACCCATATTGAAGCCTATACTCCTTGACCACCTGCAGCAAACACTTCAGATCTTCCTTAGTTTTGGCCAACAAGGTTGGGTCAGCTGCATTATGTGGGTTGTTGATGAATCTTCCTCCAATCCTGATGCCATGTTCCTCCTCATAAAGTCCAGCCTCCCAAATACTCTGTTCTGCATATAGACTGAAAAGGTATGGAGACAGGATGCATCCCTGACATACTCTTTTCCTGATTTTGAACTATGTAGTGTTTTCTTACTCTGTTCTGAGGACTACTTTTTGGTCCAAGTATAGGTACCTTCAAGTGAACTAACTCTGACATGACTTTGATAGTTTGAATTCTGATAGCAACCATATGTACAATAGATTAAAATTCTGTTCTATCTTTTTAATATTTCCCATACTTAGTTAAGCTTACTTTTGCAGTCACTGTGCCAAAATATTTGTTGAAGGTCTTTTCCTTCTTCATTGAGCCTCTACTTTTTTAAGCATGATGTAGTCTTCCAAGGACTCGCCCCTCCATGATAGCATGCCCAAAATACATAAGAAGACATTTCTCAACATCTTTGTCTTCAAGGGGCACTCTGGATTTGTTCTTTCAACTCATATTGGTTTGTTCTTTTAGCAATCCATGATATATTGAATATTCTTTGCCAACATCATAATTCAAAGGCATCAATTTTTCTGTAGTCACTTTAGAAAAGTGCATAAGAATGGGTAAAAAACCCCTTAAGATTAGATAGCCAGTACAGCAAATTAAAATGGCCCTAAACTACACTTCTGAGCTCTGGTGGCCTAATGGGTAAGGAGCTGTGCTGCTAACCCAAAGGCAGGTGGCTCAAATCCACCAGCTGATCTGAGGGATGAAGACAAGCAATCTCCTCCCATGAGATGTACAGCCTCTAAAACCTCGTTGAATTGTCAACCATGAGTCAGTTCTGACTCGATGACACATAAGAACAACAACAAAACTGTATTTCACTGCACAACTTCTACACAAGGTATAATCAAATTGTGCACACATCTTAAAGATGTAATACTTCTATTTCTATTTGAAATTTCCCAGGAATAGAATTGTGTTGTTGTTATTAGGTGCCACCAAGTTCAGTACAGCTCATAGCAATCCTATGAACCACTGATCTAAACCTTGTTCGATCCTGTGCCATCCCCATACTTTTTACATACTTGAACCTATTCCATCAGTCTCTAGGTCAATTGATCTGGTTCTGGAGGGTCTTCCTTCCTTTCATCAACTCTCTAGTTTTAAAATTATGGAATGTTTCACAAATTTGCATGTGATCCTTGCACAGGGAGCATGGTAACCTCCTATATTTCATTCTAATTTTAGTATATATGCTGCTGAATCAAGTACAGGAATGGAATTGCTGTGGGAGAACTCAATTCATTGCTATTGATTCAAAATTAACTCATAGGTTACAAGTTGCACAAGAGGAGATTGCCTACCTTTCTCCAGTTTCTGGTGGGTTCGAAGAGCCAGAGAGGTGTTACTCCCTGCAGACTAGGCCACCAAGCTCTCTAATATGGGAAAATATGCCTACGTTTTACATTGCTAGATGACTTTGCAAAAAAGGCAGAAATGGTTTACATTTCCACCAGCATTATACAATATTGCTTTCCAACTAGCAACAGTGTCATTAAAAATACATATTTTTATTATTTCATTTTGCAAATCTTGTTACTTAGAACTGATATTTCGATGTTGTCTGTATGCTTTTCCCTAACAGTCATGAAGGTAAATATCATATGCCTATTAGTAAATTGCATTTGTTCTCCATAATTGATTGCAAAAAAAAAACATCTTTTCCTGTTAGTCTATTAAACTGTTTATCAGTGCAGCATTGCACATTACTAATATGAACCCACTAAATAATGTTGTGGTTGTTAAATGCCAGCAAGTGAACAAGACCTGAAAGTGACCCTATGAACACAGAGTTGAACTTTGCCCAATCCTGCATAAACTCGACAATCAATGACATCCTCCAGTACATAGTACAGTAATTTTGTCCATTCATCTCATTGAGAGATGAATTTGCTGACCCTGTCTATCTTCCTTAACTTAATTTCTTTCCCCCAGCACTGGCCCCTTCTGATATGTTTTGTAAATATTTTCTCTGTATATATTTCCATCAGGATTGATGGAAGAGTCATCAACAATCTGTGTTATGTAGATGACACAACCCTGCTTGCTGAAACTGAGGAGGACCTGAAGCGCTTGTTGCAGAGGGTCAAGGACTGCAGCCTTCAATATGGATTGAGGCTGATTGTCAGCACTGGGCCAACTGGCAGCATCAGAAGAGATGGTGAAGAGTTTGAGATTGTTAACAGCTTCAGTTTGCTTGGCTCCACAGTCAACACTGGGCACTAGCAGCCAGGGAATTAAAAAATGTATTGTGATGGGAAAGTCTACTGCTAAGGACCTCTCCAAAGTACTGAAAAGCAATGGTGTCACTCCAGAGACTAAGGTGGTTCTGATACAGGCCACGGTGCAAAGATCATGCTATGCAACAGAGAGTTGGACAATGACTAGGGAAGACAGAAGGAGAATTGAAGCCTTCAAGCTGTGGTGCTGGAGAAGAGTATTGAATGTACCATGGACTGCTAGGAAAACAAACAGGTTCATCCTAGAGAGGGTTAACTGGGCTACTCCTTGGAGGCAAGAATTCTGGGGCTTCGTCTAACATACTTTGGATATAGAAATAGTAGCACACAGGGGAGCCTTTTCTTGGAATAAAGCACATCATCCAATTTCAACTTTCTTTAGCGACCTTAAATATTTATAGAGTTGAGAAAAACAAGTTGATTTTTAATAAGTATCGGGAAGATTCCTGAAATCAACTTTCAAAAACTTCTCGGTTTATTCACCCAACTTTAAAAGGATAAACTGGAATACAGCTTCCCCATAAAGGTTGCCTAAGACTATGAATCTTTACTAGAAGCAGCTCATAGATTAAAATGTGGTTTTAAAAGTTCATGATCATTCAACTGTAATTTTTAGCTATAATTTTTCATGATTACAAAAGTGAGATAAATTTCAAAATGTATTTCTTTCCTATCATTAAGTCAGTTGGTACTTTTTCAAATTGTTTCAAGAATATGTTTGAGAGATTGTAGAGATACTGTTGTTATTCAATTTGCATGCTTTTCCACTATTCATTCTAGGTATAAGCCTCCGGAAACTATGAACGTTGATAAATGTCGATAGTTGTAGGGGCGTCAGACCATTTGTTCAATAAGGTCGCCAAGAGTCGAGTTTGACTCGAAAGGAATTAACAACAATATTTCTTTACACTAGCCTTTTATTGCATAAGGCATTTTAATTAAATAATATGCCATTAAAAGGCACATTCAGAAAAATATAGTAGATAAGTTGTAGGCAACAGCGGATATGTTCAGTGTGAACTTTTCAATGTCTCAGACTTACGTTAAAAAGAGGTTTTCATTCATCTATTGTTATTATAAAGGTTTTGTCTCTTTTGGGGAAAGAATGCTAGAAAAATAGAGATGAAAACATTAAAAAGGACAAAATTTTAACACAATCACGCGACTTAAAATCTTTCACCTATAAATCCTTGCAGTGCATGCGTGGTACCAGATCGGGATTGGACAGTGTCTCTTTTGAAAATACGCAAGCGCCAACGCCAGCATGCACGGAGACTGCGCAGCTAGGACCCCCAGCTAAGCTCCTCGGAACTCGTGATGAGTGTAGGTTTTTCAGCCGGTAGGATTTGAGAGTCGCTCCACTTCCGCTGACACCGGAAGCAAACGTAAGATGGCATCTTCCTCGCTGAACATGTCAGCCCCGGCGATAGGGGAAAGTCAGCTTCGTAACCAGAAGTCGAAGCCAGCAAGCCGAGGTGAGGCGATTATAGGCATTAAATTGAGACATTTTTCTGATGCTGTCTGTGATCTTGTTGGACCGTCTTTAAGTTTGTTCTTTGGCGCCGGGCACTTGTTATTTGCTAAGAGTTTAATTGCAAGTCGGGAGAGGGTGATAATTTAGCCGGGTCTGGAGCTACAACTGCTTGGGCGAGCACAGTGCCATCCACGTGCGTCTGACTCGTTCCCACTCTACTTTAAGAGAGTTAAGGTGTTGATCTACTTGTTTCCTTTAAAAGGATGCACATTAATAAACTATAGAGCGTGGTGCTGACTACAGTGCGGCCATGGCTTGAAGTCCTGGGAAGATGAGATGGAATAGAGTAGGGTGGCGGTGTGGGGTCGTTATATACTGGTGTGAACCCTGAAATAAAGGAATGAGGCAGAGAGGGATATAGAGAAAGATGTATCTGTAAGGTCTTTTTTCAGTGTGAATGACAGGCCAGAAAAATAGCCATGAGATTGCTCATATAGTCTTAATGGAAGTGCTGAAGATTTTGACTGTTCTAGAGCTATTGTTGTTGTTATGTGCCATCGAGTCGTTTGCGACTCATAGCGACCCTATGTACAACAGCCCTAAACCGTGCTCTATCCTGTGCCAATCTCATTGCCTCTGACACACCCATCCCGATTACCCCAGTCACTGAATCAGTCCACCTCATAAAGGGTCTTCCCGTCCTGCGCTGTCCCTCCTGTCCCTCCACTCTACCCAGCATGATGTCCCTCTCTAAAGACCTGTCTCTCCTTACAGCATGTCCAAAGTATGTCAGGTGAAGCCCCAGAATCTTTGCCTCCAAGGAACAGCCTGGTTTAACCCTCTCTACGATGAATCTGTTTGTTTTCTTGGCAGTCCATGGTACATTCAATACTCTTCTCCAGCACCACAGCTCAAAGGCGTCAATTCTCCTTCTATCCTCCCTAGTCATTGTCCAACTCTCTGATGCATAACAAGTGATTGCAAAAACCATGGCCTGTATCAGGCGGACCTTAGTCTCCAGAGAGACACCGTTGAGAATAATTAAAGGGTAATACTAAAGAAATGTTGTTGCTGAAATTTTAAAAATTGTTCTTAAAGAGGCACGTTATATGTACCACTTAATAGAGGAAACACAAGAAACTACACCCAGTTCGTTAAGTAATATTATAGCATTATAGCTTAGAAGCCTCCAGTACACACCTCCCAGATCGTGTTCTTTCCCCAGAACTCACAATAATAATAAACTAGCCATTCGGAATGACTTTTCTTCTTATTCTTCTCCCCCCTCCCCTTCATATTCTTTATCATTTCTGAATCATTGGCTTGAGTGTTTTACCTTTTTTTGTAAATTATTTTATATTTTTGTGTAAATTATTTTATGTGACTGAAGAGATTGTACATTATAGATTGTGTCTTTTGCTTGTTAGGCTTAAATTTACTTTGCTACTCAGGTTGATCCTTATAGTTATGCTGTTGTTAGGTACTACGTAGGTGACCACCACTCATAGTGACCCTATGAGCAAGAAAATCAAAACCTTCTCTTGCCCTGTGCTATGCTTACAGTTTCTCATAGGCTCCACTGTGTCAATCCATCTTGTTAAGAGTCTTCCTCTCTTTCTCAGACCCTCCACCTAGTACAGCATCTAGTTTCCCTAGAACTGGTCTTTTCTGACAACATACCCAAAGTATGTGAGAGGAAGTTTCATCTTCCTTGCCTCTAAGGAGTGCCTTGATTGCATTTCCTCTAAGACAGGCTTGTTCTTTTGATAGTCTGTGAGATATTCAGTACTTCAATACCACAATTAAAAGACATCAGTTCTTCTGTCATCTTTCCTCATTGTCCAACTTTCAGGTGCCTAGGGAGCAATTGAAAATATCATGGCTTGCCTCAGGCCTTAGTTTTTAAACTGACTCCATTGCCCTGTAGCACTTCTGAGAGGTCCTTGACAGTATAGTACCCCAGTGCAACACATCTTTTGATTTGTTGATTGCTTCTTTCATGGGTGTTCATTGTAGCTCCAAGCAAAATGAAACTATTGATGCCAGTCTGTTTACCATCTGTCATAATGTTGCCTGTTGGTCCATTGGTTAGAATTTTTGTGTTCTTGATGTTGTAATCCATATGAAGGGCTTTTACAACAAGAAGTCGTCTTTATTTTCTATACGTAGAACTGTGTATTTTGCAGAATGCAGGCTGTCCAGTCCTGATGCCTTCCTTATTCTTTGTACAGTCCAGATTCTTGAGTTATTTGCTCAGCATACAGATTGAATAGATATGGAGGAAGAATACAACCCTGATACATACATTCCCTGATTTTAAACCGTGCAGTGTTCCCTTGATCTTTCTTTCTGGGCAACTGCTTCTTGTTCAATTTGTATATCTATACTTGGAGCTATTGTGTAGTCTTTTCATCGTTATATGGTATTTCATGCTATGAATATACCCTACTATTTTTTCTGCTATTGATGGACAATTGTGTTATAAACATTTTTATACATTTCTCTTGGTACATTCTTTCAGAAGTTTCTCTAGGTTTTATTCTCTAGATTTGAGTTCTGTTGGCATAGACCCTAGCAAGTTGCTCTACTTTCTCAAAGGCTGTCCATCTGCAGTGGTTCACGTTTACCAGCTGCTTCACAGGAGAAAGGTTGACAGTCCCCCGCTCCTTGCAATTTACAGCCATGAAGGGTCAGTTTTGAGTCATCTCTGACTCTATGGCAATGAAAAATTTAAAAGAGATTATACCCTTAAGAAATTTAGTTTTACAAGATGACTGAAATATAAGCAGTTAATTTTAATATAGTTTGTTAGTGACAAGCTTTTTCTTTGTTGAATATTATAAAAAGTAGAGGAAGTGCAACCACTGTGGAAAGTGGTGTGGCGCTTTCTCAAAAAGTTGCAAACAGAGATACCATTTGACCCAGCAATTCCACTACTGGGAATATACCCTAAAGAGACCATAACTGCCATCCAAGCAGAGGTATGCACACCCATGTTTCTCGTGGCTTTGTTGACAGTAGCAAGTAGTTGGAAACAAACCCAGTGCCCATTAACAGATGGATGGATAGAGAAGCTGTGGTATATTCACACAATGGAATACAATTATTGAAAAACAAGGAACTCATGCAATATTATTCAAAATGGGTGACCCTGGAGGACATTATGCTGAGTGAAATATCTCTGTCACAAAAAGATGAATATTGCATAGTGCCACTGTTCTAGAATGGGACTGTAAGACTGAGAAAAACTGCATAAATTGTGTATACTGCATTGAAACAGATGAAGGAGAGAACAGTTTAAAAGCCATATATGATCAGGTATTATGGTTATCACAAGAGTCCAGAATTAAAGTTGCATACTGGAGTATACTGGGGGGGTGGGGAGGGGTGATTGTATACCAATGAAGGAATTTTTCTCTTACTTTTCAAAGAGAGGAGCGAACTGGGGGGCAGGGTTGGGCAAGGAGAAAAGTGCAACAATGAATGAATGGAAATCCAAAATCTCTGTAAATGTTCATTAAAATTAATAAAATAAAATTTTTCCAAAAAAAAGCAGAGGAAGAAAGAGTTCAAGGAGTAATGTTGAGAAGTATGTGAATGTGTACATGCAAATGCACAAAACGTAATGTGAGAATTTTCTTTACCTTCCATAGATGAGTCTGAACTTCTCACTGTTCCTGATGGATGGAAAGAACCAGCATTTTCCAAAGAAGACAATCCCAGAGGACTCTTGGAAGAGAGCAGTTTTGCAACATTGTTTCCAAAATACAGAGAGGCTTACCTGAAAGAATGCTGGCCTTTGGTACAAAAAGCCCTGAATGAACATGTATGCTCCTTTTATCTATTTCTTTGAAATTTATCTATTGCTTAGATATTTTTCTCTTAAGTGTATAGTTTGCCATTCAGTATGTTTAAATAGGTAGCTTTACTTTTCAACCTTAGGTCTTAAGTATGGTGTTGATTGGATTAATGCGTTTTTAAAAAAATAAAAGACTATCTTTATCCTACTAAGTACAGTGTATTTTAAGCCAAATTTAAATGGTTTCAGTTGTTTGAATTTCTAATATTCTGTGAGGAACTCCAGTGGCGGCAGAGTCTGGAGGATGTTGCACTGCTAACCAAAAAGCTGCATGCCTCTGGCTATTCAAATCCTATAGCAGTTCAAATCCTACAGCAGTTTCAAGGGAAAGAGGTGGGCATTCTCTTCCCATTGAGGGTCACTGTGTATCAGAATTCACTCAGCTCCTTCAGGGAAACAATTGAAAAAAATTGAAAGGTAGCATAGTGGCACAAAAATGGATTGATTTGGTTAGGATGAGTATTTAGTTATCTATATCCTTCTAATTTAGAACTCAGTTTCAGACAACTGCTTGATTTTCCTTTTTTGTAGCATGTTAATGCAACATTGGACCTGATTGAAGGCAGCATGACTGTTTGCACAACCAAGAAGACTTTTGATCCCTATATCATCATTAGGGCCAGAGACCTAATAAAACTTTTAGCAAGGAGTGTTGCTTTTGAGCAGGTAAGTCTAAAATTGCAAAGACTTTGCTTCAGTTGCATGCACATTAGTGAGAGCATATAAAGTCTTTTACCGTAGACTTTTCATAATTAAATATTTACCTGGGTTTGGTAAAGCAAGTACATTTATAAAGAATATTGATGAGGCTGTTTTTCTTTTTTCCAAAGGCAGTACGCATTCTTCAGGATGATGTTGCATGTGACATCATTAAAATAGGTTCTTTGGTACGAAATAAAGAAAGGTTTGTAAAAAGAAGACAACGACTTATTGGTCCCAAGGGATCTACTTTGAAGGTATTTATTTATTTATTTTTAAATTAATGTACAGTGTTGTTATTTTCCTCTGTTGTTTTTTTCATTGTACTAAATTTTATCCTTTTTATTTTTTATAGGCATTAGAACTTTTAACAAACTGTTATGTTATGGTTCAAGGAAACACAGTTTCAGCCATTGGCCCCTTTAATGGCTTAAAAGAGGTGAGAACTATATATTAACTTTATTTATTTTTATTATTAACTTATTTATTTTTATTTAGTTAATTTTCAGCAGAGAGAAAATGAAATCTTTTGATTATCATAGCACATTGGATTATATGAGGCTTAATAACTCTTTTATGCTTTCAGAATATGCATTTGTTTTGCTATTAGTAAATATTTGTACATCATGTTATTTGGAGAAATCACCATAACCTATTTATGATCTTTAAAACCTCACTCTTCTCACTACAAATTTTAAGATTTAAAATTTTGGTTTTGTAGTACATATCAGAAACATGATCTGTCTACCCACTGAGTCTGTTTCTGTTCTATCAGTTCATCTCAGGAACCCTAGAGTGTCCATGCTTATCAATATTTATGAAAGCAGACTGTTGTCTTTCGCCCACCAACCTCTTGATTAACTGCGAAGTGCTTAACCACTGCACCACCAGGATTCCAGTGCTTTAATTACCTGTTCTCAGATGATTGGTGGTTGTGATGTGCCCTCAAGTCACAACTGACCCATAGCTGAACCTCTGAAGACCAGTGGGTTTTCAGATGCAGTGTAATTGCATTGAAGGAAGTTGACTATCCTTCTCATACTAAGCAGCTGGTGGATTCCAGCGTTTGCCTTTGGGATTACAGTGCAGCTTCTTACCACTAGGCTGCTAGAGCGGCCCTAATGATTGGAGACTTCAGTAAATTTCATTTGCACTAATATATTCAACCATTAGAGGGTAAACTGTGAAAATATTAGTTTTTAATTCATTATACATTATTTAAATTTTTAGTGGGGAATTTAATAAATAATTTTCAACATTTTATTTAACTTGTAAAAGAGATATAGCAAGAAAAACTAGGGGCAGAGACTTTCTGTTCACCTTTTGATGCTCTGTAAGCAGGCTGTAAGATTGTGGATCTTGGTTCTTTTCCAGATCCTTTTATCAGTAATCCTCTTTTGAGCTCTTTCTCATAAATTGTATTACCTTTTCTCACAGGGAAATAAAAAATATATTGTATATTTTATGCTTTTATAAAGTCTTTCAAATATGTTCTTATATTTTTACAACAGACTTTTGAGGTAATACAAATAGTCATTTGTAATATGATTTTGAGTTTACAAATGAATTAGCTGGCACAGAAAAAGTAAATGACTTTCCGATATGAGGTGGCAGCCTTATTATTTGAAGCCACACTGACTCTAGCCCCTTTCCTCCCTAAATTGCATAGCTCCAGAGTGTCATCATAGTACATGGTATCACATTTTAATGGTAAGTTGAGAAACTTTCTTGTATATAGACAAAAGTGACTAGTAGACTTTAAGAAGCCACTGAGAGCAATGGATGAGATTTTCACAGTAGAACCAGTGAGACCCAGAACCAAATTGGAATGCCTTATTTTTTCCAGATCTCACAAGGTATTTGCTTTTGAGAATATCCAACTATCACTCTTCTGATCACTTATTTAGTGGTAGACTCTTATCTTACTTTTGTAGGTTTTACCTTTAAATTGTGTATTCAAGTTGGTAGACATTGCCTGAGACATAGGATAGTTTGCAGAATAATCCTATATCATAGTCATTTAATTCTTTCTGACTAATTTCTTTTCATTCATAAATTTCAGGTTCGGAAAGTGGTCCTAGATACTATGAAGAATATTCATCCAATATATAACATTAAAGTGAGTGTTAATCATATACACTAGAATGTTGATTGTTCATTCTCCTTAAAATCTAAACACGTTTCTTGAAACTAAATATTTTGTGAAAGCTAATATATAAAATAGAACTACTTTAGGTAAATTAGTTAAGCCTACTCAACTCTACCTTTTGTTCATCCCAGTTTGTATAGAGAGGAGAGTTTAATAACTCTTGAGGGAGGAATACTGTAATGCATTATAAAGTTTTCACAAGATGAAAAGAAGAGTCACAGAAATTGTCATAGATTATTATTGTCCAGTATTTTTTGAAGAAAAAAAAAAAAAGTCTGGGATATCGCATCACAATTTTATTAAATATAACACTCAAATTGTAGCTTTTTTGAGAGAAGGTTGTTATAAATACAAAGTTCATGATTATTACAGTTTGAAGTATAGCCATTGTGGTAGTTGTCTGCTGTACAATCTATATTCAGAAGCCACTATTAGATTGAGGTAAAAAACACTCTTCAGTTGTACTGGGACACTGGCTGCAGATAAAAGAAGAGCTGGTTGTGCATCAGGCATCTAGTTTGTAGTTGAATCTTCTTTTCTTTCCTATGAATGATCTTGGTTGTTACTAAACACTTCCTGCTTACAAAAAACAAAACGAAGAAAGCCCACGATAATGGCCACAAAGCTAAAGAAACTGTTTTCCTTTTCATCTAAAATATTTTAACAGTTCTGCATTTCTTAATCTGAATTTTAAAAGGATTTCTACTGCTTAGTTATGTATATTTCAAGTATCCTTATTTTTCTTTATGGAATTGGTTTAATCCCTCTGACAGATTAGAAACTACTGCCTGCCTCTAAGTTTTATAATTTATAAAAACAGTATTTTTCTAGCTTTGTTTTATGAATGTACACACTTCAAAATTAAATATTTTACTTTCTTTGTGTTTCCCTAATTAAAGACCTTGATGATTAAACGAGAATTGGCAAAAGATTCTGAATTAAGATCACAAAGTTGGGAAAGATTTCTACCACAGTTCAAACACAAAAATGTGAATAAACGCAAGGAACCAAAGAAAAAATCTGTTAAGAAAGCTTATACACCATTCCCACCACCCCAGCCGGAAAGTCAGGTCAGTGTTAAGTCTTTTTATAAGTGGGAAGACTATTTAAATAAATCTGCTTTTCTAGAAATTTTGTGAGGGTGTTTTATGTGGAGTTTGTGAATATGTAGAGATACAAGAAATTAAATGTAAGTAAATAAGCTTAATTTTAAGACTAAGTTATATGAGGGTGGGAGTGGAGATTCGCTTTACATTATGAGCCTTGTCAGTTATAATCCTATAGCACTATAAATGTTCTGTACAGTTAATAAAAGGATTCAGCCAGAAAATACTTTCTTTCCAAGTTTCAGCCTTAGGAAATATTTTCTCATCTACCTTATTTTTGAAGTAATTGCTGCTTTTTACAGATTGACAAAGAATTGGCTAGTGGTGAATACTTTTTGAAGGCAAGTCAGAGGAAGCGACAGAAAATGGAAGCTGTAAAGGTAAACTGTTTCTGTATAGCTCAAAGCACAATTGGAAAAGTTCGTAAAAACTTAAATTCTTCCTTAACTGTAAATTTTATTTTACTGACATATGCTTTCTTAATGATGTAGGCAAAACAGGCAGAAGCTCTCAGTAAGAGACAAGAGGAAAGAAACAAAGCTTTTATTCCACCTAAGGAAAAGCCAGTTGTGAAGCCTAAGGAAGGTAATGTCTGTCTGAATTAATCAATAAGTGATCATATTCTTAATCAGTTCTCTTAGCATTTTGTTAATCCTAGGAATAATAAATGACTTGGGTAATTTATGAGTTAGTAGTTACTGATGCCTGTTTTACAGTATTGTAGAAGGAACAGTACTCGTTTGACCTCTGTCTTGTGCTGTCCTGTGTTGGAGAAAGATTTTGTTGTGAGAAAGAAAGTAACACTGAAGAATAGGAGCCCCATAGGTGCTGGCGTCATACCTCTTAGAAAGAGCTATTCTTCCCTGTTTGTAATCTATGGCCTTAAGTTTGGTTCCATTATACATAATATGGATTTTTCATCTCTTTGATCTTCATGAACACTAACAGAAGCATGATGAGAAGAAATCATTGAGGGGCTGTTAAAAAGGTGTTAAGAGAAAGCCCTTTCCCCCTTATGCTGTTCTTCATTTCTCACTTCTTTTTTAGTGAACTCATTGTCTCATTTTACCCATCTCTTCCTCCCCCTCCCTGCTACTCCTGTGCTTCCCATATAGGCTCAGGGTTTGGGGAGGGGAGGCATAGTAGCAGAATTGTTCAAGATATATTTATTAGCTTCCTGGAGCAGTAATAGGTTATACAAAAGTTATAAGGTCAGACATTATCATTCCAGTTTATGTATCATGCCATTTATGGATTTTGACATTTTAGCTGATTTAACATTCAAACAAAAATTTGAGGCTCTGTATTCCTCAAGTTAGATAAGTTATATGAACTTTTATCCTCCAGTCTTTTTGTTCATAAAATGCTTAAAATGTTAAGAAAAAGTTGCATTGTTTTGTGTTTTCTTTCATAATTCTGGCATTGATGATTTGATTGATTAAATAGAACAATCTTTAGAAACCCAAATTACTGCGTTACTACCAAAATTATGTCAAATAACATACTGCTTAATCTCATTTTCAACATTTTCTTGAACATTAAAGTCAGTTTTGACTCGTGGCAGCATTGTCAGCTAATTAAATGTCTTGAGACCTGAAGGGTTACATGGAAAAGTCTTTAAGAAATATAAGTTTTAACGTTTTTGCATGTAATAACTAGCATATTAATATGCATTCTAAAATCCTCCCAATGTAAAAAGGTAAGAATAATCTGATCTCAAGTGTATTTATGAAAAAATATAGTTGAATTAAGTGATTGTTTTAAAATTCCAAGCTATGAAGTTACTTTCATACTTATTTTTACTAATGTGTACTATTTTTCTTTTCAAATACTATCTTTATAACTGAATTTATTCTTCTTTTAAGAGAGCTTGAGATCGTGTTTCAAATTTCCTTCCCTTTAGCCTGGTGTTTTTAATTACCTTTGGTTATACTGGTGCTCTGAACTTGTTCTGATTGCATATTGTTTATGCCTTATCTGAATAATTCTATATGGTGTATTTTTAATTTGTCTAGCTTCTACTGAAACTAAAATTGATGTGGCTGCCATCAAGGAAAAGGTTAAGAAGGCAAAGAATAAGAAACTGGGAGCACTTACAGCTGAAGAACTTAAGCTTAAGATGGAAACAAAGGAAAAGAAGAAAAAGTAACATCATAAAAACATGCCTGAACTAAAATTTATTAAGGTATATCCTTTTGTAAAGGAGTTTGAGGTGCACTAAGACATTAATTACCCTATCTATGAAAAGGATACTTTGATTTTTTTTCTGAGTTTCTTTTCTTTCTAGAGTACAATTTTTAAAAAGTAAATTATTGTATCCATACCTGTTTTTAAAAATTTTGTACTAGAAACCAGTATATGTGTCTTTATATATGTTAGACCTAATCTGTGCCAGGCAACATTTGCCAACACTGTATTTTAGGAGTAATTCTTTAGGTTGTTTTATATAAAACTTTTTAAAGTAAAGTGTTGCTTAGTAATTATAATTTTCAATAAAATTTTGTGATGGATGACACTTGTCAGACTTTAAATAGAATTGTGTCCCAGTATTTAGTTTTGAGGAAAAACAGATTTTCAGTGCTCTCTCTTCCTCTTTAATGATAGCAAGTAAACATTTTCTTTTTTATACCAAGATTATACATCTATATGTCTCTCAAACCAAATTTTCTAATTCCTATTCATAACCCTAAATCTAAGGAGAGATAAAAGTAGAGAGGGAAAAAAAAATTGTAGATTGGTCTGGGGATTAAAGTCACATTTAGAGTTGAAACAACATGTGACAAGTAATGTAGACATGTTTGTAACTACAAATGAGGACCACTAGAATTACTGAGATTTACCTAAACCTAACTCATTCTTGAATTTTTTACCTTTTAAAATTTTTTTTACTTTATACTGGTTTATTTATAACTCATTCATTTTATAGTTCGGAAAACTTGAGGCTAGCTTATGTACTCATAATCTCAGCTGTGTGGTAGCCTGGTAGCCTGAAAATTGTTCATTCGTAGAAATGTGTGGACACTATGAAGAAAAACATGGCATTAGGATTAGAAGAAGATTGGTTAGTTACCTTTACTATGCAGATGACACAACTTTGCTTGCTGAAATTGAGGAGGACTTGAAACAGTTGCTGCAGAAGATCAAACACTGCAGCCTTCAATATGGATTGCATCCCAAAATCAGGAAAACAAAAATTCTCACCACTGGACTGATAGGCAACATCATGATAGATAGAGAAAAGATTAAAACTGTCAACAACTTCATCTTCCTTGAATCCACAATCATTATACTTGGTACTAGCAGTCAGAAGATCAGGAGACATATTGCACTGGGCATCTCTGTAGTCACGGATCTCTCCAGATTTCTGAGGAGCACTGATGATAGATTAAGGACTTAGGTGCACCTGATTCAGACCATGGTCTTTTTAATCACTTGTTATGCATCAGAAAACTGGACTGTGAATAAGGATGATAGAAGAAGAATTGATGCCTTTTAACTATGGTGGTGGAGGAAAGTAGTGAATAAGTCCCATGGACTGCCCAAAAGAACAAATTGATGTGTCTTGGAGAAGGTGAAGTCAGATTGCTCCCTGGAAGTAAGGGTGGCGAAGCTTCAACTTGCATGCTTTGGACATGTTGCTAGGAGAGGCTGTTCTTGGAGAAAAACATCATACTTGAAAAGATGGAGAAATAGCAGAGGAGGGGAAGACACTCAGCCAGTTGGATGGACACTGTGACTGCAGGGCTCGAGTGTGTCAGATTGTGAGGCTGGCACAGGATAGGACAGGATTCATATCTGTTACTCATATGTTAACGATGAGTCTTACTTATGGCACCTAACATTAACAACATAGACATATGGGCAGTAAAGATGAGCTGAGCTTGTACATTCAGGAAGCTGCAATTTCCTCTTTTAGGAAGTTGATGTTTCTTCATTTGTATAAAAGGGCTTGACTATAAGAGTACATTTTTTTTCTCAAATATTTATAAATTATATATCAAATTATTGGTTTTCTATTTTTTTAAAGAAAAGCAATATATGAATGATGATTTTTCAGTATTATTCCAAAAGAACTAAATTATGATATTTGTGCTTAATTAAAATGGTAATTATAACAGTTATTATCCGAGTTAATGATTAAACAATGAGAAAGAGAGAAGTATATCTGTTGCATATGGATACCTGGGAGCCTGGATACTGAAGAGAGGAGTTGTTGTTAAGTGTCATCGAGTCCTTCTTGTTGTTAAGTGCCATCGAGTTGTAGTAACCTATAAATCAAATATAGAATATTGTATCAGACATTATTTCTTATAGTAATAGTGGCATAATTGATGTGTTTTAAAGAAACAGTTATTATATACATACGTGTGCCATTTTGCTTTTGGTTAGCTGAAAAGTCAAGGAAAAGAAGAAAAAAGTCAGAAGGGTGGATAATGGGCTTTTTTAAAAAAAAAAAAAGCCAAGTCTCAGTTTATCATCATTAACACTTTGGCTTTATTGCTGTAATTTCTAAAGGTTAATTATTTATGTGTCATTTTTATAATTCTTCCTGCTACCTGTACTGCACATATTTAATAGAATTGCTGTTTATGTAAGAAACAATCGAAACAAGGTGCTTGTTATGTTGCTGACTTGCCATTCTTTTGTGTGTCAGAGTAGAATTGTTGTCCATATTGATTTCAGTAATGGATATTTGAGCTGTAGATCAAATTCAAAACGCGTTGCCTTACACTGAAACTAACTGACTCAATAGTGGATCCTACAGCAAGTTTCTGAGGCTGTAAATCGCCAGGGAAGAGACTTCCATCTTTCTACTACATACCACCTGATAGATTCAAACCACCAACAAGGTTTGCTTGGCCTTTGGGTGAACAGCCCAACTCCCTATAGACGACATCATCAGAGCTCTCCTGGCCATTCTCCTGAGGCTCATGTCCTTAATCTTTTCATTGGGAGTCAAGGATGTAAACCTTTTGCACTGTTTGGATTCTGAAAACTTACTGGAGAGTCAGCTGTGAGTCATTTCCAACTTAAAGGGAAACAACAGTAACACCATAGCTTAGTGGAAGCAGGTTTTCAGAAACAGTTAACACCAAGGGAGGAGATTGCCCATCCTTCTCCCACAGAGCAGCTGGTGGCCTCAACCCACATGCTTTTAGGGTTGTAGCACAGCTTCTTGCTACTAGGCCACCAGAACTCGAAAAATAATTAGGATATTAGTTAAAATTGTGGAATTATAAATAGAAATTGTTAAATACTCAGTCAGTGTTAGCAATTTATTAAAATAGTTTCTTGAAAGTAAATTCCTTTTGAAAAGAGTGAAACAGTTTTTGATCATTCGGTCTTGACAAACAGTAGAACGTCTTTCAACTATTCCAGTATGTAATTAAAGTAGTAGGACATTTTACTATCTTAAAGCCATACATTTCCTTAACTTGTGTTTTATTCCTACTATGACATTCAGAGCTCTGGAAAAAATAAACTCTACATCTTTTTGATGCTTTCTTTAATTAAATGGTAAGCCAACCACATTCCGTCCCAGTTCTCCATCACTTGGAGTTGGTGGAACCCCAAAGGAAGTGATTCTCCAAGTACTCCATGTATAGTGAATTTCCAGTGAAGCTGCTACTCACAATTCTTGGCAAAAAACCCTCCAAACCCAACCAAAACCCAGTTGCTGTCAAGTTGATTTTGATTCATGACAGCTCAGATGCTTCCTAACAGAACTGTGCTCCACAGGGTTTTCAAAGGCTGTGCTCTTTCAGTCACATGGGCTTTTCCTCCAAGGCACCTCTTTGTGGATTCACCTTCCAAACTTTTGGTTTAATGGGTTACAAACTTTTCCCCTTATATGTGTATCTTGGCTCCTAAATCAAATATACCTCTGTTGTTGTTATGTGTGGTCTAGTAGACCACAACTCACAGCAACCCTAGTTCTTTAACCCCTGCCTTATCCTGAACCAACCTACTGCCTCTGACCCACTTGACCCCATTGCCTCAGTCACTGTGTCAGTTCTTTTCATCCAGGGTCTTACTCTTCTTCACTGGCCCTTTATCCTACCAAACATGATAGCCTTCTCCAAGGACTAGCTCATTCTCACAATATGCCCAAAGTATGTGAGACAAGTTTAAAAATCCTTGCCTCCAAGGAATAACCTGGTTTCACCCTCTCCAGAACAGACATTTTGGTTCTCTTGACAGTCAATGGTATTTTTAATACTCTTCTCCAGGATCAAAATTCAAGGCATCAATTCTTCTTCTGTTGTCCTTAATCACTGTTGAATTGTTAGATGCATAGCAAGCAATTGAGAAGACCATGGGTTAGACAACTAGGGGAGCTGGTGGCCAAGTGGTAAGAATCTGCATGCCAGTCCCAAAGGTGTGCAGTTTGACTCCACCAGCTGATCCATAGGGAAAGGATAGGCAGTCTCCTTCCATGCAGTTCACTGCATATGAGTGCCCACTGGAGGATCATGATGATATTGTTAACAACGTCAGTCTTTTCTCCATCTGTCTTAATGCTGCCTGCTGGTCTGGTGGTGAAGATTTTTATATTCTTGATGTTGAGATGAAATCCTTATAGAAGGCTGTAGTCCGTGGTCTTCTGCACCAATGCTTCAAGTCCTCCTCAGTTTAGGGCAGCAAGGTTGTGTCATCTGCATTACTCACAATGTTGATAATCTTCCTCCAGTCCTGATGCCACAGGCTTCATTAAGTCTAGCCTCCCAAATGATCTGTTTAGCATATAGATTGGTTTTACCTAAAAACACCTTATGCCATGGTATACTCAACACATTTTGAGAAACAAATGTTGATTCAGCCTTCACAGGTCTCTATTGAATTAAAAATGTTTTCTAGAAAACCAGAAGAAATTTTTTTCCACATTGTCTGGTAAGAGTAACTATTATTAAAAGTTTTATTAATTGCAACCCTATTATGTATTCACAAGTAGGACCACAGAGTGTAATTCTTTGAATAACCTTGTTACACATTTTTTTAAATCTTACTGAAATGTGTGTCCTCATCCTACATTTTTCAACCTGACAGTCACTTTTTGTGTTGTATTGACTAAATTAAAATAACCATTTGTCTCCTAACTTAAACATAAAAATCCCCAAAGAGTAAATAAGAGGTTTGCTTGAAATTAGC